ATATATATATATATATATATATATATATATATATATATATATATATAATCATAGAATCACCAAGGTTGGAAAAGACCTAAAAGATCACCCAGTCCAACCGTTCACCTATTCCCAATAGCTCCCACTAAACCATGTCCCTCAACACAACATCCAGCCTTTCCTTGAACACCCCCAGGCTCAGTGACTCCACCACCTCCCTGGGCATATATAAATGTAAGTTGTATATCACAGCACAATCCTTCAAAAGAAGCAGGTTTGCCTGCACCAAGTAACCACAAACTATAAAATTCTCCTTAATTTCATTTAAAGAAATACCTTCCTTTCCCTGTCCTTGGGACACAGACTTGCTCAATGATCTTCTAGCCACTTTTTAAATATTTACACTAAGCAAATTTAATAGAATGAGCTGAGAATATAAAGCCCCACCAGTAACAAGGAGACATAGCAATGAGTTTTAAAACGTATAGGGGAAGAAATTATGTTTGGGCCTGTTTTAACTACATCCATGATAAGACATCGAACTGAAACCCACCCTTATTTTGAAGACTCAGACACAGAGTCCCAACAGCTATAAGGCAGACTGTGAACTGTTTTTTTCAGCTCTCAATACCCCTGTAGTCAGTCAGTAAATTTTCATACTTACCACCGCTTTCCAACTCCATCCCCATCTGGGGACCGCGTATAGGCGATCTTAAACTCGATGTCAGGGACAAGCTGCATGGCTAGGCGATAAAACTTGATGGCTGAAAACAAAAACTGTAGCGTTTAAACAAGTCTGATGCCTACACCAGCTTATCAAAGCACAGGTTTTATCAGGGATTACTTCAACCAGAAGTGCTAAAAAAAAATAAAAATAAAAAAAAGTGGAAAACTCCTTTGCCTAAGCCTCAACTGACTGGGCTTAAATTCAGTGCAGAAGAGAAACAAATCAAACACTGTCAAAACAAAAAGCTTCATATACTTTTTCAGAACAAAGATCTCACATGTTTCAGCTTTCACAAATTTACCTTAACTGCTAAAAAAAAAAATAAACCAGTTATGGAGTATACAAAATTTTACAGCAAAATGCTACCAAGTCTTGATTGCATTTGTTGCACAGATTTTTCCAAGAAGCCAAAGAGATTTTAGACATTACTGTCTTAAATAATCAAATGGAATGTGAAAATAGAGTACAAAAGAAGATGCAAACATATGTTACATATCCATTACACTGCAGGCACTTCAGCTCTACATAACACTACAACATAAAAAAGCCAAAAAATGGTTGCACGTTTAAAAAAAACTACAACAGATACAAACCAAACATTGCTGTGGTACAACCATGGAAACTAGAGCAGGCACAGGAGCAAGCCACTCAGAACACTGAGAATGAGGAACCTGACTTGGGGAAAGCAGCCAGTTCAAAAAGTTATGCAGCTAACAAAAGCTTATGGCATGCTAGAGGAAAACTGACAGGTGGGACTTCATCCAGCACTCAGACAAAGGATGTCTGTCACCCTTTAGCACTCCAAAGATGCTATAAATATTGAGTAGAGGAATAGGCAAAGGAAGAACACTGGTATTAAGATCAGGCGTGTATTTACATGTCTTTCTATATTCCCACGTGATGATTCCCAATCGGTGGCAAGATGGCTATTCTCCCTCTTGATACCTAACTAACAGTGACTTTGGTTGCACTAATGAATCTGAGAAGCCTGAGTTAGGGGCTAATAAGCATTCTTATTTCCTTGAGCACACATCAGCACTGCTGACTGACAAGTAGTAGCCTTTGGTGAAGATGAGGAACACAGCAGCCTCAGCTGAACAGATCCGTCTCAACTTCAACATCTGATCTCACAGCCAGGCCTGCAATGCACTTGAACATGGAAGAAGCTGCTTCACATGACTGCTCGACAAATGTCAGCTATCAGCACATTTCAGAAGCAGGCTTAAAATGTCACTGGGTTCTGGTGAACCGGGCCAGGTCAGCAAATAGAAGCGTGGTCTGGGAACAGATGTCCCAACACACACAGACAGATATCTGTGTCTAGCACAGGGCCTTGTTACTAAGGTCTCATAAGGGTGTATGAGGAAGTTTTGATTTTTGAGGTCACAAATAAAATTCAAATGAGAAAGAGTGCGTTAAATTCAGTGCAGTGCTGTTACATTTCAAAATACTCTCACCTTTTGTCTGAAAGCTAGAAATCCTTTCCTTGAACACCCTTTAGCTTCACCTCAACCGTAGCTCTGTGATATAATGATTCCTTTCATACCTTGTTTGTTTGCTTATCCAAATAATTGAACTCTCAAATTACAATTAGCCATCAGTTTAAGATCACTGTTAACATGCAGTTTTGCACAGAAGTTAGTCTGTTATTCTGCAGTAGGAGCATTCACTGCAGACTTCTGCATTACCTTCATAAAGGGCCCCATTTTGCTCTTCTTCCACTGCTTTCAGGAAAAGTTCTTTTGCCTGCACAATTACACAGAACACTTCTTAAGTTCATTACAAACACAAGTGCTACTTCTTTTGACTTAGAATTGTTTTCATCTTATGTACTGTATTCTACAAATGAGAAGAATGAAATACCTCCATCAATAAAATGTCAAGACATTTATATTCAAGCAGAAACAAATTCCCAAACAACAATCTCTCCATGTCATTTTTTAAAAGAAGAAAAAGATCCAGACAGGTTATAAAAGAGTTAAAAAGCACCACTAACCCAGATCACAGAATGGTGCTGGAGGTACATACAAGCATACAAAATTAACAGAACTCTAATTCTAACAGGATCACAGTACTCCCACTATGACTCACTGTCTGAAAGGTTATATTCTGCTCAGCAGTTCGACTCCCTTAACACAGGGGTTTGACTTGCAACTAAGACAATGCCTTGCAAAGCTTCGTAGCTTTGCAAAAACAGATAGCTATCTACTCCCAAAAGGAACTGAGGAGATGGAAAGAAGCCAAAAATAGTCCATGCTAAACCTCATCTTAGGAAATAAAGACGATTATTGAAATATAATTGACAAAATAAGGAGAAAATGCAACACGACACTGGTCTAGAAAACATGTGTTTCTTGTACCTTTTCCTCTTTTGCTATCTCCTGTTTCCCTCTGGTATCTACAGATTTTACTCCAGGTCCTCTTGACGATGTTCTGCATGGCAGAGGTTCCAATCCACTAGAACTCACACCTGGGGCAAGCTCAAACATCCACTGAGCTCTGAACATCTGCAGCTCTGCCTAAAAGAATCCATCACATTCTGATTTAGTACCACATATTCAGACAGAAGATCTTCCAATCAGAGATGATATAATACTAACCCAAAAGAGAATTTCAAAATTATGCTTTATACTTACAAGTCCTAAAGTCCATTTAGACATGAAGAATTAGCCACTGTTTTGTAGACTTTTTTAAGCACATGTATTCGTTCAATATAATTCAATAACAAATGCCTTTATCTGGACTGATCATGGCAGAAGAAATTAAATTAAATTTTTAAATTAAATTAAAATTAAATTAAGGTAGAATTTAGTTAATTGAATTAAAATTAAAAATTAAAATTAAAATGTAGAATTTAGCTAATTTTTATACATAAGCATATTAAACTTCAAGAAAATCAAGACAGTCATTTGGAATAAAGTACATCTGAGGCCCTACCTCCTTTCTCTTTTTAAAATGAAATGCTATGTTCTGTGAAACAAAACAAGTCATTTTTGCTACGTGTTTTTCTAGCATCTTTGAAGTTACACTTAAAATGTTGCAACTGCTAAGGCTCCTGGAGAACAACGACATAGAAGGCAAGTAACGTAAGCAAATGTGCTTTTCTATCAGACTGCTTCTATCAACTTCCTACTCTAGAACAAGAGACAAATTAAACCTGAGTTTAATCCATACCGAAATTGCTGTCTGATTTCTATTGTTCTTCAAAGAAATTCCAAATCTGACACAAACTTTCATCTGTACAGACTACTTACAACTGACTCACACTCTTGGTACACAATGCAAAATTCAACTACTTCACTTTTGGAGGGGCAGAGAGATTAAGCACACCAGATCAATACACAGTAACCAAACAAGCATTAGCAGCACAGCTTAAATCACAGCAGTGCTGTTTGTGATAAAACACCAGCATGCGAGACGTACCTGAAGGTTTGCTTCACCAGATCTTTCGTTGTCATCAGTTCTTACCATATCAGAGTGACAATCTTCTTCAGCTTCTGCCTAGTAGAGAATGGTCCAGTGTGATTACACGCTGCCAAGTCCCAGCTGAACCTTCATAATGCACAGTCACTACGGATACTCATAAAACAACACACAAGAACCAAACGTCCTCTTACCTCCCCCACCCCACCTGCACGTCCACCTTATCAGTCTGATGATTAAACTTAATCTTAAATCAACTGGTGTTGTTTGCACTTCCCTATTAACTTAATGAAATGTTTTGCACTTCAGCCATATCAACCCAATACAGACTAACCGTGTGAAGACACACATACATCAGCACACTGCCACAATACCCAGCTAAGAACACCGAGGGCTAAAGACACAGAATTGAAGCTTCAGTACTAAATAGTAGTAAGAAATTCATGTAAGAAATTAAAGATTAATCTTCTCAGTGTAAAGGTAACCAATAGTTTTAATTTCTTTAGTATTCAGGAAATATTATTTCTTAGAGAAGAAAACAGCTACTTTATGAACATTATGGGACAGTATGGGCAATCTCAAAAAATTACATATGAAAAAATACACTATATACAAAATATCACTCAGAGGGTGGTGACACACTGGAACAGATTGCCCAAGGAGACTATGGATGCCCCATCCCTGGAGGCATTCAAGGCCAGGCTGGATGTGGCTCTGGGCAGCCTGGTCTGGTGGTTGGCGACCCTGCACATAGCAGAGGGTTGAAACTCAATGATCTCTATGGTCCCTTTCAGCCCAGGCCATTCTATGATATACAGAAGCCACCTTAATGTAAAAGCAGTGAAGAAGCTAGCATGAGAGTGTGACAGCTGGTTTTATTTACAATACTGCTATGAGATAAGTTAAACAAATAAGACCTTCAACCTAACAAGGGCTTTGTTAAAATTAAACAAGCTCTGAGCATCAGCGGCAAAGCCACCATCAAAAATGAACCCTAACGTCAAAGATTTTTCAGAGGAGGAAACAGGTAAACAGCAATGTTCCAGAGCACCAGAAGAGATACAACTGAGCAAGTAGTAACTTAGAATCTGACTGCAGGCAGCTCATGCTGTAGAAGCTACAGCTGTCTTATCGCAACAGTACTGCAGCACACAGGGATTACATCTACGCTGGACAGAGACAGCTGGATAAATTAGCTCTGAAATCAATGTCTGGTAAGGGCACTATTGCAGCACTGTGGTGACACCAGGAGGGCCCACTTCTGCCTGTGCAGAGAGAGGATATAAGGCTTCAGGCATGCAGCTGAGTTCCGCCTAGTCAGCTCTCAGCCTGGGCAGAGCAGGTCTGGTTTTATCTGCAAAATGCAGAGACTGGTAGAGATATTTCTACACGCTATCTTCCTGTGTATAAAGGTGCACCGATTAAAAGCACATAAATTTTAAGCCAAGTTATGGTAAGAATTGGGATTACTTAGGTTTTGAAGCTGGCTGAAGTCCACCTAGCACTTACAGACTTAGTTTCATTAACCGTTCAGGAGTCCTGCTTTCCTTCCTGTTGTTTCTACTCCAGCCAACCCACGTCTCCTCCAATGCAGTCAAAAACCTTTCCTAGTTCTGCACCAACTGCTTCCAATTATTATCAAATGCTCTTTGAAACTTCAGCATGCTCTCAATCCAAACAAAAAAATACAACATGCTAAAGAGTCCTAGAGCAAAACGTAACAACTTTGAGCATTACAAAGCTCACTATAACCAACATTTGACTTTCGTTGCTACTTCCTCTATGCTGAAATTATATATGAGCTGAAGTCTAATATGATAGGTTTGTCTGCAGGAAGCAGTGGCAGCAACAATTTCTCCCCACACTTACCAGTAAAGCAATTAGTCCTCATTGTTATTGCATGGTTAACTGGTCTCCACTAACAACCTCTCTGCTATTTATTTGACCTGCAAAACTCCTATGGTTTTGCTAATACAAATGAATAAATGCTCAGGTACTGCTAAAGCAAACATCACCACACAGGCAGCACTTGGGACCATATGTAAGGCATGCAAAACTTATCTCCTTCAGACCATTCTGACAAAAAGTAAGCTACAGTTCTAGCTTCTGAAGTTCATAGAATACTGTACGGCAGCTATTGCTTAGTTAAAAAATTCCATCCTGTTCATCTTTATGCCACCAGCCTTCCTTCTGCAACCTGTCAGCTGTCACATCCAACAGCTCAGCAACTCTATCCTGCTTAAAAGGTGAGCCACCCTACCCTATGCTGATCAGCTCAAGTGATTTTTCCATTAGAAAAGCGGTAGCAAATCAAGCAACCAAAAGGTCAGTGTGGAAGCAGCGAATGCCTGAGCTAGACAGCGACCTCTAAAAAGAAGTCAGCCGAGCCTGTTCGATTCCAATTTGTTTGCAAAGCTTTAGAAAACACTTGCAAAACACAAGACCAGCTTATTTGCACTGGTCAGTAATAACTCTTGCAGTCAGTAATTACACACTGCTTTACTTTAGGAGCTCTACAGCCACTTCCTAAGGACTCAATACTTCAACTCAGTATTTCAGACCTTTGCTCCAGCAGAGTAAAGCTGCGATCAGAACCAGCTCAAGGCTGGCTGCCGTGGCTGAGCGGGGCTGCACGGCAGTTGTACGCGTCCATCCCAGAGATGACACTGCAAAACAGGTCTGACGGCTAGCTGGCTTGTAAGGGAACAGGACGTAACTCGATTTTACCTCTCTACGTGGTAAATATCAACGCTGTGTTCAGAAGGAAGTTTCAGACACAGCGGTAAGGAGTTTTAAGAGCTCCTGAACGACACCAAAGGGTTCCGGGTGCACTCGAGGCTGCGATCTCAGACACCTGAGCTCACGCGGAGGTGCCGTCAGCAGGGCGGAACCGAACCCAACACCGCCGCGACGCTAAACGGCAAACGCCTGGCAAGGAGCCCGGGCGGCACCGCGGGGCAGGACGGGGAAGGCAAGGCAGCTCCAGGCGGCGCGGCCATCGGCGCAGCCGGCAGGGCCCCGCGGCGGGCAGGGCAGCAGCCGGCGGCGGGCCGGGCCCTTCCGTTCCCCCCGCCCGCAGGTCCCCGCCGCTCACCATGCTGCCGGCGCTCGGGCGGCGCCGTCCCGTCCCGGGGCCCTTCGTCCCCCCCGCTCGGCCCGCGCGTCGTCCCCGCGGGGGAAATTAGCAGAGTTCTCGGTCGGAGAAGCGCACCACGCAGCGGGAGTAACTGCGGGCCCGGCGTACGGCAGCCATCTTCCCGGCGAGTGAGGGGCAGGCGGACACGGGCGGACGGACAAACCCGCGGGGCCGGAGCGCCGCACGACACGCAGGCCGCTGCGAGGCGCCGGCCGCGGGCCGAGACCAGCCACCCCGCCGGACGCACCACGCCCACCGCGCCCCTCCCTCCCGGAGCGTCCCGGCTCGGCACCGCACCGCCCGCTGGGAAGCGCGATCCACGCGGGCCGCCGCTCCGACCGACCCGCCCGCGCAGAGGAGCGGGGGCTGCCGGGAGCTGTAGTGCCGCGCGGGCGGCCATCCCGAGGGAGGCTCCGTCTCCGCTGGATGGCGCCAGTTCCGGCCCGCCGTGCGGGGCTACGGGCCTCGGCCCGGCCTGGAGCGCGGCGGTGCCCGCGGAGCGCGGAGCTGTCGCCTTGCCATGTGTGAGTACCGCGCGGTTCTGGGGATGGGCCCGGGCCGGGCGCTGCAATCAGGCGGCCGTTACGGGTGAGACCGGTCGGTGCTGGGGTTGTATGCGCGCCTTTACGCGTGGCCTCCTCGCCCTTATCCGTACTCGCAGCCCCGAGTGCTTTTAGGAGCGGAGGAGTTGCGTGCTTTGCTCGGGGACGGAGCCGCTGCAGCCGGCGGGGACGTGGCGGCCGCTGCGGGACGGGCCTCGGCCGACGGGGCTGGGAGGAGAGAGCCGCCCCGGGGCCGCCGGGCGCAGCGCCAGCCCTTGTGTTGTGGGGCGGCGTGCCGAGATGCTCGGGTACGCGGCGTGCCTGGGGGCAGGCGGCACGGGCTCGTGGCATGCCGAGGTGTGGAGGTGCTGTGCTCGGCGAGACGTGTACGACCCATCTCGTGATGGTTTTTTGCTAGAGCGTTCAGGCTGCTCTGCCTGGGCGCATCTCTCCTCATTCAGGAACAAAGCCCTGTCACTGGGCTGCATAGTGCTCTCCTCATTCAGGAACGAAGCCCCGTCGTTGGGTGTGTGTGTGTGCTTGTGAGATGGCAGAGAGATGTCTTAAAGCAGAAGTCACTTTTAAATAAGTACGCACAGCTCCAGCTGGCTTCAGTAAGTGTCACGCATGCCTGTGGGAGTTTAACGCTTCCTTAACGCTGGGCTGTGGGGTACATGGCACCAACCTAGGGTGCCCCTTGGGTGCGCCCCACGTTTGGGTTTTCTGAGTGAGGAGGAATGGTGGTGGGGTGTGAGTACCTTGAGGGGAGCAGGCTGGGGGTGGTGTGCTGAGATGCTGCACTGGGCGGCCTGGGAGGTGGTGGGATCACTGTCCCTGGAGGCTTTCAAGAACTGTGTAGATGTGGCCCTGAGGGATATGGTTAGTGGGCATGGTGGGAATGGGCTGGAGGTTAGACTAGTGGTCTTATGGGTCTTATCCAACCTTAATGATTCCATGCTTCCCCCTAACACATCAGCAGTGTTTCAGTCTGTTTGTTGTTTTGGTCATGTTTGGCAGCAGAGCTGGAGTACAAAGAGAGCTTCTTACAGGCTCAATGAAAATCAGTGGCTGTGAAAGGCAGAGGCTTGAAGAAGTATCCCCAGTGTGGATAAGGGCTGGGAACCAGGGCTGCTGACAGCTGGAGTAACCAAAGTTGTTCACGTGGATGTTGAGTGAACGTGGCCTGAACACACATTTATGCTATGCTGGTGTTGTCAGCAGTTTTCTGGGCCTCTTTGGCCAGTGCAGTGACTAATTGGGATGGGGGGACCCAAGGACCCATGCCCCAGGAGGGGGGGGGGGTGGGGAGGTAGACCTAAAACCAGAGGCTTAGTAAACTAAGGGAAAAAAATAATTTGGTAAGTAGTGGAATGCAAGATAACACAATATAATGCAATATAACTGGAATTGAAGCTAATAAATAAAATGAGAGAGAGAGTGTCCAAAACTGAAGGCCTTACTCTAGTGTTGAAGGCAATACAGCTAGGGAGCACACATGCAGAGACAAGCAGTAAAATAATGGGACAGTCTCCTGACTCATGAGCAGTTTTATCTTTCCCTCTAAACAGAAAACCAAGATAGAACAGCAAAGTCTTCTGGGAGATGTAGTTCTTCTCTTCTGAGAACCAGATACCCAGAAATATCAACTATGCGTGGAAATGTAGCATTAACTCTGTAACTCCCTGTGCAACTCATGATGCTATGATATGCAATACTAATAACAGAAATCATAAAACCATAGCAGGTGTGCAGCCTGGAAACTAGCCAAAAAGAAACCGGTATTTCAAAGTGCTGTCCAGGCTCTGTGCTCCTTGGTGAGCAGTACAAAATGTGGGACTGGGTCTCCAACTAAATCTGCTCAGTCATGGTTCCCCAAAGCAGTGTGTGGAGAGAAGCTGGTCCTGCTGCAGGGCAGCTCCTCCCACCTGCCCTACACACTGCCTGGTGTCAAAGGCAGGAACACAGAATCATGGAATTATTAAGGTTGGAAAAGACCTCTAAGATCATGTCATTCAACCATCAACCCGTCACCACTGTGCTCACTGAACTATGTCCCTCAGTGTCACATTTACCTTTCCTTTAGAAACCTTCATAAGCTTCATTGCCATTCTTGAAAATGCTCTAGGTTGAAGCAGATTGTTTTTCTCATAAAAAATGTGTAAAATAGGCCAAAGGTGTGCTGTGGCTGTATATCCTAATTTGTGTTTGTTTGTTCCTGTATTAGTGGGACTGATAGGCTTAGATAACTGAAAACAAAGAATCTTAGCAACATCCTGCAAATACAAAGTTGTGGTTCTGCACTGATAATGGTTACAGAGTTCAAACAATGTAATCCTTTTACAATAGTCATTTGGCTTTGTGAAATAAGGTGAGCTTTTGGAATGCAGGCTTCAGAAGGCAGAAGTGGCATGGCAGGAATGTTGCTGTCTTCTGAGAGCTGGAGAAAAAAGAAAGCAGGGGCCAGACTCAATGATAGTGGAAGAATTTTGTTTTATTCCAAATGTATGAATAATCAACATAGATCACATTTGTTCTAAAGTAATGTAAAGATTAGGAAATGTTTGTGGCAGTTAGATTAAATAAGGGAATATAGACTATCTTTCTTTATGGATGATGTGTCCACTGCTAGAGACACATCCATTCTTAGGAGTGCTGCATTGAAATGCATTTGGCATTTTCTGATGCATGCATAATGTTTTATAACATAAGCTGTGAGGCTTCATCTTCTGTTTTCATTACTAGTATGTGCCCTCAGGGCTAGCTACAAGCTTTCCAGAAGGGGCCTTTAGCTTTAGTGAGCAAATGGATTTGGGGAACAGTTACACCCAGATAAAAGCTGTCTGCTTCAGGTGGGGAACTGAAGCAGGTATTTGATTATAGCTTCCAAGGGCTGTTTCTTTGAGGAGAGAATGGGGTCTGCAAGTGAGTAATCTTGGAAAGGTACAGAAATCAAGTGGATTATGTTCTGTGCTTTCAGACCAAAGGCTAAGTCTTGAAAACATGATTCCTGCAACTGTTGACACTGTCCTGAGTGCTCTGTATTTATGCTGCCACAGAAAGAACTGGTTACAGTCGGAGAAGAAACACTAAGGACTCAAATGCGCTTGCAGCTAAAGTATCCTCATCATGAATAGGTACACAACTATCAGACAGCTTGGTGATGGGACCTACGGCTCTGTCCTCCTAGGGAGAAGCATTGAATCTGGGGAGCTAATAGCCATTAAAAAGTAAGTATTTTCCTTTGTTAGCTGATGCTGGATGATCCCAGTTTTTCTGTTCTGTGATTTGCATCACCTGGTCGTGCACTGACTCGAGCTCTCCAGATGCTACGTGACATCCATACTTGCAGCTGAGCTCCATATGCTTCCTCTCAAAACAGGTTCTTTATATCCTCCCCAGCTCAAGCAGAAAATACAAGGCTGAAATACATAGATATATTGTAATAGTGCTCAGCTACTACGTGCAGTCAGATGCATGTATATTATTTACACTGTTTTGCAGTGCTGCTTTGTGAATCTGCACTCTCTTCCCTGCTGCATACACGGGACATACATTTCATGGTCTAATTCCCAGTATCTTAATGCTGCAGTGGTAAAGAAAATGAGATCTGATGTATCAACTTTTTATTCTATTAATTATCAGTAGTTTCAGCTTATGTTTTTTTCTTAATAGTCTTGGAGAAATCTGCTTGATTTTTCTCATTTTTTTCTCTGCTGCTTCAGTTGTGACCTCAGTTTGTAAAAGACTTATTTGTCCTGGTTGTGGTAAGAGGCATTATGCTGCAGTCACTTTCCTGAAATACCAGCCTTGACCCAGGGATGTACTTGTCAAAAGAGCTTTCAGTACAATGTTGTTTTGTATGAATGGTCAATGGTTGGCTTCAGCAAATTCTCTGTGCTGAGAATGTTTTACCTGCACCAAACCTTGCCAGAAACACTTCTGATTTTCATTTTACAGCATGGTAGAAACTCAAATATTTCAGAACATACCACAAAACAGTAGTTTGTTCTCTTACATTTGAATGCCAACCCATTATTAAGAGCAGAATTGTGAACTGGTACCTGGCAGGACAAGATGTTAATTGCAAGAACACTGCTTACACAAACAAAAATATAAAATTCTTCAAGAAATGAAGACCATGTCAGTATATTTAAAATCTCCTGAGAACTGATTTCAAACTGGAAAATCACTGCAATAATAAGAAGTATTCTTATTATAAAGATTCTTATTGAATTCTGACAAAGACTCAGGTCTTCAAAGGGTACCTCACTCCCTCTGAAATCCAGATTCAAAGCAGTTAAGTAGCTAAGTGTAATCTGTGCTGTTCTGTGTGTATGTACACGTACTGCTTTCATTCTGGGCTTCTGAAAGTATTGTTACGTGAAGGAGCTGATTCACAATCAGAATGTTTGAACACGTAAGACCATACTTTACACATTAATACTTTGCACAGCTGTATTCTGAATTAGGATAGAAAAGATCTGTCTTGTGGTCTGTTCCTATTGAAGCAGAGTTGCTTGTGAGCTTGAAAGGAGAGGCAAAACTGAAAAGGCTGTTGGCATGGTAGAGGAAACTAGCAAGGGAGCAGTGGGCACTGAAAAATAAGGAAATAAGGGGAAATGATATGTGTAAAATT